GCCGGCGGGGAACTTCCGAAAATATTACGGTCAGTAAATCCGATGTGGTCGACAAGATGGGCCCGATGCTTGGAGGGGGGAGACAGTAAGCCGAGTAAGTCAAAGAACGGAAAGCCGGACGGCAGGCCGATCGTGCAGCGGTGTGAAACAAGTCCACTTGGACTGTCTCTATCACTTTCCTCCCTTTCTTAGGTGTATTATGAGAACCCAAGATTAATTAGGCATTAGCCGATTTCGATCTAATTTGCGTACTCCTTTGTATCTATTTTATTTTATTTTATATCTTTTAGATTTTTTTTCTTTTATTTTTTCTTTCCTAACGTGGTTCGAAAACGCAACATTGGACTTGAGAAGCCGTTGAGAAGAGCAATCCTAAGAGATCATTTATGTATTATGTATGAGGTCAAAACAAAGTAGACCAAAACGATATACCGTCGCCTACAAAGCAGCAGGGATGACTTATGTCTTATCATATGATAGTATCAAGGTTTATATCTGTAAATAACAAAGACTGCCTCTATTTCTTGGGGTGATCAAGACTTCAGTATGTCCCACCAGATGCTCGCTTTAGGTGGATTTGATGACCAACACACGATGTTATGTCTGCAATTTATCAGACTACCAAAGACAGTAGACACAGTAAATTTATGACCGGACTACAATCACGCCAACTACTCGCCAACCTCGCGATCAGAGCTCCAGTGACCATATTTGCGCATTATCGACCACTGCCAGGTACTGCGACGAATCTGCTTTCCCCAGAAATAGAAAGGAATCACGAGCAAGATAATGATACCGGATATCGCTGCCATCTCTCCAAAAGCAATCGCGTAGCCATCCTGATCTATCCAGGGGTTTGTGTAGAACGAGAGTAGAAAGCCGAACCCAGCTATTATCATCAGTAATGGTTCTGGCTTACATGGACCTAGATGCTGAGGGGGGGCTTGCTTACCTTTGAATGCCAGGATGGATACGCTGACCTCTCCAACAGCTGGCCTGTAGCAGTCAATGCAGTACACCATGGAGACATTTGTGGCCTGCACTATTGCAAAATTCAGAAGGCCAAGTCCAAGGACTGGCACCATCCAATGGCACTCATTTTGAATGCCAACTCCATATAGAATTAAAGAAACGGGCGCGCAGATACCACCAATGGCAATAGCTGGAAGCCGCATTTCAGGTTCTCGAATTCCGCCATTTCGACGAGTAAACCAATCAGCAGTCCAGTCAGACAGATGGCCACCGCAGACAATGCCGATTAAGGATCCAATAAGGGGCGAAACAAAGCAAAGACCGGATTGCCATGCTTCGAAGCCATAGTAAGTCGAAAATGCCGTGGAATAATTGGAGGTAATTGCAACAAGGAAGCCAACAGTGACGGAAGAGACCAGAGTAGACCAGAGCACTGGCGGAAGAATGATCAAGACGACCGGCCTAAGGAAGACCCGAAATAGCGTCTCTTTGGTGTATATGCCGTGAAATAATTTTATCGAACTGATGTAGCTCTCCTTAAGTGGGGGGTTTCTTCTGTTTATCCCGGCATTCTCCACAACTTCCGCTTCTGCGCAGGTCTTTTCAGCATCGACATTGATTGCGAAAGGATAGACGGTGGCACTCCGGTCGTAAGTCGTCTCTGGAAAAGTAAAAATCACTAAAATCAATACTGCTCCCAGAAGTGCTGTCGCGACATAGTAGATAACCCGCCAGTGATAGTGAATAGTGATAAGACCATCAATGATGATACCACCTGCAACCCCCATGGACAGGGCCGCAGTGTATATCGCCATGACAGTTCCTCGCTCATGAACGAAGAAGATGTCTGCGATAGTAAGTGGCCCAAGGCACTCCCCAGCACCTGCGGTCAGGCCCAGAACGATTCGACCAGTCAGCTCGACAGCGTATGATTGCGCAAAGCCACACCATAACGCCGTCCCAAAATACGCCAGGAATGAGAGGACGTAAATTGGTCGCCGACCATACTTTACGATAAGCGGCATCCAGAATAGCATCCCAACGCCCTGGCAGAGAGCAGCGGAAGTAAAGAAGTAGGAGACTTGAGATACATGACTGGAGAAGTCGGGTCCCATTGGGCCGAGAAAGTCAATAGTCGTTTCCGAGATGGCCACTGAAGGCCCAGCCGCCAGGAAATTGCAAAAGAACACGGCCAAACAAGCAACAACAGCCAGGAAATATCGATGTTTTCTTGACCAGTTTAAGGGGTCGTTGGGATCCGCAGTAGGACTCGGAATGAGAATGACCTCATTCGTCTCATGGTGACGGAGGCGTAAGGTGCCCAGCTTGTGAGTGTGGGTGTCGGTGGTAGCAGAATCCATGGCGACGATATCGAGAAGCTACTCTCTGCAGGGCAAGCTGTGAATTAGGCTATTATAATAAGCAATCTACATTGACTAATTGTCATTTGCTCCTCCGGTCGTGGTTAGGGGTGATTGTCCACGTGAAGCCCGTAAACTCGGCCAGCATGTCGTGTAGTACTAACCGGCATTCCGGAGAGAGTCTGGCCCGCACACAGACCGGTAGTCCACCCACCACCCGGGCTCTGGACCGAGTGATGCGAGGAAGCTTTCTTTTAATTGAATTAAGAGTAGATATAACAGAGTAAGCGGGATTGCTATCTCCGATTGGACACATGGGACTGAGCTACAGTCAAGTACCACGGCGGATTTGTGGGTCAGTCTACTTTGTTTGACCAACCCCGGATCCCGCCAGCGATAGTCCAAATACCTACTCCAGTGGCATTTTAGTATAGATCCTAAGATTGCATGAAAAGGCGAAACTTCATTGGGTCCCTCTGTAAGCACAGATGGAGGTTTTCCTGGGTGTCCGGTGAACGGGTCCAACCTAATCATTTGAGACCGCCCACCAAAAAGACAACACAGGAGGTAAGGGTGGAACAAGGAGTCCTGTAAAAACTGAAGACTAGCTTAGGCTATACAGGCCTATTCTTCGTGTGAACATAGTGAACATGAGGCGTGATGGCGGAAAGCTGTATGTCAGATTCGTCACCGATGGTGCTCGAACATTAAGCCACAGATGAGAGGTTTGAGCTTCGAGAGTGTATTTTCCCCATCGCCGGCGGGGCTCAGTGGGTCATATTTCCCCATACCCCGCATTTTACTGTATCAATGCTAACTTGCTAAGTGCCATTGCAAAGAATATCGGAAATGTGGGGGACCCCCGGTGCCCTGTGCGTTCCAGCTGGAAGCTTTGCTACATCATAAGGCATTCCGGTGAAGATGAACACCTATTGTGGAGTGCATATCGGAGCATCTCCAGAGGAATCCACACGAATCCTTATTTTGTTACCTAACGTAGAGACCTCACTTTAGCTGTAATGATCCAAGTGGGGATGCTCCGGAACAATGACGAGCAACATGGGTAATTAACACAAGATATATAGTCGTCGGATCATGAGTTTACCATCTCACGTCTATCAAATGCTTCAGATATCTTTTAATAGTAACTCAAAATGCATTTTCCAGCAGGTCTTCCTGTTACTATCATGACTCTCGCCCTCGCGCTCCCTATGGTTGCTGCGTCCAATGTGACGGACACCAGCAGCTCCCGGAGGCACTTGTCGAGCGTTATCTTTCAGGTCTTAGAGTCTATCAGGCTCCAAGACCCAGATATCCTACCACTAGCCACTATTTACAAAGCAACCGAGAACTCTCATCCTTCTTCACCTGCCATGATGACAGCGTGGCGAACTATCACCGAGGTTGAAGCGCCTGCCATGCTTGCGATCGACACCGTGCAGAATTCAGTGTACTTTATCTCAGCCATCAGTGAAGGAAGTAGATCCAGATCAATTCTCCGCGGTCGAATCCAAGTGGTTGATTGGCTTATTACTGAGCTGGAGCTATTTATCAACCGCTCCCGTGGTGACGACGGCTTCGCTTTCTCAGTCGAGGAGCTCTATGCCAACTATCAGACACTCATGTCACTACCAGCCGGACAGAAAAAAGCAAATCGAGAAACATTAGAGGCTCTGGGAAAGGCGCTTTGGAACCCATCCGACAATTTCACGGCTACTGTGAGTGACAACTGTCAGTTCACCGAAGTAGGATGGAAGGTTGTCGATACTGGGACCTATGGGAACGGCTCCACCAACCCGCTTGGGTGTAGTTGGGACTCAACAAGGCCATATGATCCAGATGCAAGAGCCAATCTTGTTATCGATGAGGAGTTAGGATTCGTCGTTTCTAGCGGCATGGTCCAGGGCAAAGTCTATCCGTACTACGGTAATATTTCTACCTTTATCCCGGATTCCATGCACACGCAGCAGGACGCCCAGGAGGTCTGGATAAATACAGTAAAGGGACAAAGGAACGTATCCCTGTTGTCCCCTACTGAAGCTACCGGTGAAAACATGGAGGTTGTTCAGTACTACAACGATGAGCTTCAGGCCCTTCAGTTGAATGTCTTTCTTACCGGTCCGAATATGACGTCCGCTTGGTTATGAGGAAGCTTCGTCATATGTAGCACTTATCGTTGTGCCCTTATGAATCGGAGACTATCTCAACTCTTCGGGTCCGTCTTTATCTTCCAGCTTGAACAATTCTACTTCCTTCCTGTCAAAGATGGCAATAAATTGGATCTATTATGTTCAACTTTCCCTTATTCGAATTACTTATGCCAATAAAATTATCCTCCCATGTACGGGATTCTCTCCTATTTGCGCTGTTAGTATGGATGTAGAGCAGTATCAATATACTATTCCGCGGGCGGGGAACTCGTTATCTCATTTACGGTATATTGAACAAATCACCAATATCATTATAGCCCTGTGATCTTAATTGGAACAGAAAAAAGGATACAGAAATTCCTGCTATGTATAGGACTGACGGAATCCCTTGGTAATAAATACCTAGAGGGCGCAAAAGTGAAGAAATGACATACTACATTGTCTCATTGAAAAGAGGACTCATAGATGGCTTGAACATCAAGACCCCCGAACACTCAGCTGACAATTGAAATGAACATCATGCCCAACTAGTTCCATTCCGCGGACCAGTGAGGTAAACCAAGAATTGCTCACCCTGAAGCTGATCATTGTAATACTGGAAAACATTGAAACTGGTCGCCAGGGTCGCCATCGGTTCGACCAAATATATATACCCCTCAGAACTTTGAATAGAATACCACGTATCCTGCGTCTCCTGCGAAGATTTCATCGAATCCGGGATAAATGCGGAGAAGGTCGCGTAGGGGTAAACCTTACCCGGAACCACGCCTGCCGTGACGACAATCCCCAGTTCCTCATCGATGACCAGAGTCCGGGCATTCAAATCAGTAGGTCGGTCTGACATCCAGTTACATGCAGCATTCTTTACCACCCAGCCCATCTCAGTGAACTGGCAGTCTGAGGCCATATCTACCGTAAAGTTGTCATTTGCGTTAAAGCTCGAGGCAGCAATGCGCGCCAGCTGATCGCGGGTTGCTTTCGTTCGATTTGTGGGCGGGCTCTGCCAGCGCTTGAAGTTCTGGGCCAGATTCTCGACATCGAAGGCGAATCCGTCCTCGCCTTTACCGCGATTGACGAATAGCTCAAACTCGCTAAATAATTGCGAGGATACTTTGATGCGCCCCCAGAGGATGTTTTGAATTGTGGCGTTTCCTTCAGTAATAGGTACGGTGAAGTATGCCTGACCTTGTGAGATGTCGATGGCCAGTAGGCTCGGTGAGCTGGCTTTCGTGACAGTCCGCCAGAGAGTCATCATGTTGAGGGCTGCCGGGTGCGCATTCTCGGTTGCCTTGTAAACTTCTGCCAATGGAAGTCTGAATGGGTCGTGCGCCACCATTGAATCCAGGACTTCCGTGATCATCGTTTCCAGACATTCACGGTTGCATGATGTGTTGCTCGATGGGCTTCTCTCGACCAATGTCATAACCGGGTTTGCAATTACCCCGACCACGAGCGTAAGGCATGCCAGTGCTTTGGAAACCATGTTGTCTGTAACCAGGCAACGAAAACCGACGAAAAACGGGAGGACAATCTGAAAGACCGCCGACTAAATACCTCATGTTGTCACTTTACGGCAAACCGTTACTTCCGTCGGGGGAAGAAACAGAGGACCCTAATCAGGGATGTGTTGGCGGCGGCTTTCCGCCCCGTCCCGGCTTCCGAGGTGGAGGAGGCGAAAGGCTTTGTAAATATGCAGTCCGTAGGAGCATGAGAATTACCTAGTTTGCCATCTGGACACAAGGATAGTGATGAAGCCAAGCTATTGAGCTGGAACTTCCTTAGTTGCTTTAGGAAACCCTAGATGGGCTAACCTGCCCTACCGAAGGTAAGAAACACATGTGCTTCCAGCTAGATTATGATTCCGCAAGAAACATGATATAGGCTTCGTGACTATTATTGGAGTCTGTGATATGTGCCTTTTTTCCTCTTCTGTTCTTCAATATATCGGCTAGTATAAAATAATCTACCTCGGTTTCTGCAGTAAGTATACCCTTGTCTATCATGCTTTACTTACCCGGATACAAATATCAAATATTTTCATGAACAAATTACTAAATATTACGGTTCAGATTATTATAACACCTGCACTGTCTGTACACAGAATCAAAGAACTTTAATATTTATAACAATAAATCTTTCATCAATCAATCTTTTTTCCATTGGCTATGAAATTCCTGTCAACAGTGAGCCCTGCTTCTGGGCATAAAACAAGCTCTCAAAAAAATTAGGAAACCTAGACAAGCAGGTATATTATAATCATAGAATCATATATTATAACAATTATAATAATTATAATAATTATAATAATTATAATAAGATTTGACAGTAATTGCGTATTTTAATGAGAAGGTTTCTTTCCAAATCTAGGATTTTGGATATACTGAGTTACTATTGAAAATCACAGGTAATAAAGATGAATCAAAAGACGAGATATCGTAATCTAACATGTTGGATAATCTAGAAATTTATTACTCCAATGTTTAATCATATTAATTATAATTACTTTGTAATGTTTACCTTTAAATACGGAGTATGTGGACCTGGATTACATACTTAATATAAATATTTCTTTTGATATTACTCTTAGTAAGATAGCATGCTTAATGACTCGGTTAATAATTAAGAAGCTAGGGGGGAAGGGATGTGGTGGTGCCTTGTTTGTCTGTGCTAAAGGGTTGAAGCATCGATGGCGCGGCTGAGATATTTCGGCTTACTAGGCCGCCAGATTAGTTACCTTAACCAGTTATCGGATAATTATGCATAAAATCTGACATATAGCTCTAATGACTGCGGAATGTCTTCAGCTGTTGCTGAAGCTATACTGTGTGGTCAGCCTCTATGATCCACTGGGGGGCATCTGCTACTATATAAGCACAGAACTTCCTTGAAGGCTGTACACCCATTGCATTCTGCAGCATCCGCAATTGAACAGTACATGCTAGCACGATTATATTTGGAAATCATATAGCGAATGGGCTGTTGGGGGGAGAGGAAACAAGTCTGAAGAGTTGAGGAAAGCAGCTTGCGCAGGGATCTGCTTTTTGTAATGACGCTGTAACTGGTCGTTCCTTAGGATCTAATAAAACATCGGCAGTATGTAGTGATAACCCCGTCCGTCGGCTTTAACTGAGGCGGGTTTTGATAGTTTAATTATCAGGTCTACAGCGACATTGAGCGACTGGCAGTAATGCAATGCACTCATCAGTTTCTTGCACGTAGTTCGTGCATGGCGTGTGATAACTCCTGTTCAATTTGCAGTGTCTTAGCGTCACGGCCATGTATGTTGATTCCATCGCCACCTCCTAAGACCTGACACACAAACTTGCCTCTACACGCAGCATACAACGCCAATCATGCCATCCCATAGCATTAATGGTAGAGCTTCGGCTATGTCTCTCCTTGTCGATCCTATCATTCTAAAGTACCGCTCGTAGAAGCCAAAGGCAAGCGTGGCTTGGCATAAAGTGTAGGTTAGTCCCGCTTAGGCACACCGGGCACACGCGCCAGGCACCAGGCACCAATCTCCAACTGACTACAAATCATATAAGACGTGCTATCCTTTCCTCTGTCTCACAACACTATATCATACGCGCACAGCGATCAAAATGGGTGGCTGGGCGATTTTTTGCGCTATCTGCGGAGGTCCATTTTCCAGCCAGGTCGACATGGACTGCGAAGGAACCGACGAGACGGCGTATCGTTTCGACATCCTCGAGCACTGCAACCTCGAGTGGCTCGACAAACTACGTGCCCTAGGAATGAATTCCAATGCTACTGGAAGTGACAAGTTCGTAGTGACTCGCCGTTAACGTCTTACAAAACTAAGTGGCCTGGTTCTCTAGGTCGTTTCTGACGGGACCTGGCCGCTACTTTGACTATGTAAGCTAATCGATCCCTTTGACAGTTTTCAAGCCGGCAGTATAGTTTGCTGAAGCTGGAGGTCCTGCTAGGGGGGGATTGAGGTCGTTGCTGGGAATCGTACGTTGCTCTGAATACGTGGCCCTCCGTGACACTAGAATTACCCGTCAATGGTAACATCGTTTTGCCAGATATAAACATCCCATACCCGAAGAACGAGGTTGTGCCCATGGTTGCGTATGCATTGCGTCTCCTCTTCCAATTTACCCGCTAACCCTCTCATAGATATCACGACTTTGCCGAAATAGGCGAACCACATGTGTTTCCGTTTCACTCCGTTTGCTACGAGGTTCTGAAGAGATGCATCTCCCTGAGACAGCCAGGTGGAATTCAGGAAAATAAGCTATATCGGGTTTTCGAACAGGCAAACGGTGGCCGGTACGTCCGGTTGCAACTTGACTATGGCGAACCAGACCCTCCCGTAGAGCAGGTGTGGGAGACTCTCCAAGGGCAGGAGGTAAGTAATATGCTGAGAGCAAACAATGCGGGTTAGAAGTTTAATATGCCCAGATTCTGGTAGTAAACCCAGTCGACATACCGGAGCTTGAATCAGAGATCAACGACATCAAGTGCTTGTTAGACACGAAGACCTACCTTAATAATGAGACGAAGCTCTACAAAGACGATATTTTCAGTCGTCTTTCGAATGAACTGCGACACGAGATCTTCAAGCACCTTCGCCCAGAATCGATTTTGGCTCTCAAGGCTGCCTCGCGAATCATGCACACTACCTGGGTTCCGCGCTCCATGTGGGAAGCCAAGTTAGTCGATACATATCCATGGCTGTGGGAGGTGCTTGAACTCCCGGTTTTCCAATCGCAGGAGATCGAAGAGAAAACGTCTAGGCTGCTTTTTGCTTGCAGGGAGCAGGGTGAGTCTACGGGCAGAAGCTATGGCTATATCTTGGGTCTTGCCAACAGGAGAAGGATTTGGGGAGTATGCGAACAGATTCGGAGTAAATATTTGGAGGAGCGGACCACTTTTACGAGGCAAATACTGTGGCGGCTGCTGTTACATCCGCGTGGGGAGACATTGAAGTGATCCTTCAAACTCTTATCACATCATACTCTGGACTTGATATGACGAATCCCGTGTTCTGAGTCTTCTTCCAGATTCTAATGGTAAAGATGAAGCCCAAATGAAAGATTCATTGTATGGTCCTATAAATCTCAATATAGATAATCTACCGGTAAAGGTAAATCCAGACAGTCAGCGTAGGCATAACAATAGCTAATCGAACTATCGCCGAGCGAAGTTCCTTCAAGTCTGAGGATATCCAAATCCCGTCCGGGGCAGTTCTTTCTTTTCATCAGAGTGCGCTGAGCCCGACACAGTGGTATCTAGGTCTTGGGTGGCAGTAAATGTAAGATGTAAGTTGTTAGAATAATTACAGATTAGACTTTGTATTTTGTTTATTTAAAAGCCCCATTTTAGAATCTGTGGAGATGTATAGCTTTATACTTGTAATTTATCTATTTATCTTCTAGCCTTAGTCCTGAAGGCTTTCTTTGTATTTCTAATTAACTATATTATCTTGAAATTACGCAGCCAATATCAATCCGGTCCACGTGTCTGATTACTGTGGGTGTAGACATCTTGGATCTACTACTTGAATACGTTATTCTACAGTAAGCTGTTATTCCTGAGTATCAGCTGCTCGTGCGTGGCCAATACTTGTAGAACTCCTTCTATACTCCATCAGGATGTAGAAAGAGTATTCAGATCTGCAAAGCTGAGCTTGAGGATGCATGCTTGTGGGCATGTTTTTCTAAAAGGATACCTTCTCAGAGGGTTGACTGCAATGTTTATTTTATCACACAATTGGTCCCCTGGCAATGCGCTAGGCTTGGAGGTGATGAAGGATGCTCGGTAGCCGTGACCTTACCCGACGGATTTTTGCAGTCCATACCCAATGAAGTTGACTGCAGCAATTGTCGCATTGTGTATTTGGATTCAGAGAAATGGGTAAATATATGTACGATCAACGGTAAAAATGAAGTGAATGCAAGAGATATCTTTTTTTTAGAAAAAAAAAAAAAAAAAAGAAGTAAAAGAGAAAAACATACAACAGAAGGGATTCGCTGGTGGTCACCCACCCAACTACTAACCTCCCGGCGTGTGGCTTGAGTACGGCTGAGCGGACGGGAAGCCCTATTTTCCACACCCTATGGTCGTATGTGTTTGTCAGTAATTAGAGCTGGCTTATAACTATGCTTATATTAAGCTTAATAAGCTAGAAACTTTAGTCAGGTCTGTAGGATTATAAAAATTCATGTCATTCAGAATTATACTTCTATTCTCAACAGTAAGGTAACTATAGAGCTAATAACTTGTATGACAATTTCAGCAAGGCAAAGAAAACAGTATAGACGGAATTATTGGTCCACTAGCATAGTTATGCTCTTGACTGGTTTCTATACCGGAAACACTGGATGGCCCGATCATACTGGAATAGAAGGGAGTTCAGCGCGAAATGGGGAGCACTTGGAGCAGCATGTATGTCATATCCTTAGCGTGGAAACTGTGAGCAAAGGAGTTTCATATTGGCAAGCAGTGATTTCTGTTCTTTCCACTCATATGATTTGTATCACCTGGGAGGGTGTGGAAAACCATATATCCCGATCACAAAAAGGCGCCGTGAATGTCCCGAGACGGCGAAAGGTTTCTATGTTCAGACCGAATGCCATTTCCTTTTGCTCAACGATTCCAGCGGTCTTCGCGCTGGTACCAGTTGTGAAATTCCGCTCCATTACAAGGCCTTGCACCGTCATGTCAGTTTTCATCAAAATGGCCAAGTGAACCTCCCCAACGCTACTGGACGCCGGTTCTAGGGCATCTGCTGTAACATATCCGATTTCTCCATCATCCCCTTGTTCCTCTGAGTGATATTCGCCCGCCGCAATCACCTCATGAAGCTCGAATAAATTGCCATTTTCCGGATCCCAAATTGCCCTTCTAACCATTGCCCGCAGGATTAGCATCCCACCAATGACTTTACCATACGGGTGCTCTTCACGTGCGAGAAAAGTTCGACAGTATTGGACCTCGCAAATCATGTTGGAAACATCTCTGGTAGCGTACTCAATTTCGCCATCGACCGCGCCCCAACTCCAAGAGGGTGACCGATAAGTAGCGGGCCGTGGGAACTTGCGCCGTTGAACTGTCCACATGAGGCATCCTGGGAGGTGGTGAGACCAAAGTCCGGCATGATAGACGGGAGTTTCTTCTTGACCCTTTGGCCAATGTTGATGAAGCTTTTGTACTAGTCCAGACACTGCGATTAGGCGATCTCCCGGTTTTGTAAGGGTACGCTGTGTATAGCAGCTAATGATCTTCCTCCATGTGTTGTCTAGTATGCGCTCTGCATCTTCGATTCCAGGGACCATGAATGGACTGGAAAGGAAACGATCGTGGAAGACCCAAGACGGTAGTTGCACGATGTCATCTCTAACGTCTCGTGGGTCTGCGGCACGGTCAATATTCATGTGCTCGGTCTGACATTCGTACTGCACTGTGTGGGAGCAATAGACTAGAGACCGTGGTGACAGAACTCGTTCCTCTAAGCACCATGCCCGACTGTTCACTGGCTCGGGTCGGAGATCAGTTCCGTGGCTCAGAAACATCGTCCCCAGAGCACCATCGGGAGTTCGGAACGGAAGTGTGCTTGGAGCTGGAAACCCGGGCCTGCGGTCATGCAAGAAGCCGTCGCTTACTTTGGACGCACATGCGGCGATGATAGTCACATAAGCATGATGAAAAATGTCTCTCATGTGTGAAATCTGCTCGGCTTTGTCCTCCTTCGAGTCCTGGATGATGCAATACGCGTCCACCCATAAGAACCGTAGCCCTAGGCGGTGAGTTACGGTGATTGCGTCGCGAATGGTTTGTGGGACTCTGGAAATATCAATGCCTCGAGTATATTTCTCTATGTTCTTCGTTGTTGTTTTGAAAGGTTGATCCTCTCCCCAGACATAGCTGAGAGTGACATATGAATGCTCTCCTTGGACACCAATTTGCAGTCGTGGATTTGCAGGGTTACCGCAGTCAATCACTCGGGTTGGCAAAAGGGTTGCTCGTCGCCGTGTACAGTTCTTATGATGGTTCACGCAGTCTGTAATGTATTGTCCAGCTAAACCAAATGCAGTTGGAGAATCCACCTGCCGGAGCACACCGCGGGTAGTAATATAACGTCCTGCCGGGCTTTCTTGACTATTGTTACTAGTATATTCGGCGTGGGACCGTCCTAACTTCAGATTTCTGCTATTCAGCACAATTTTAACGTACCATCCGCTGAGTATACCAGCCACTTGGGCGTCCAATCACCCACTGTCAACTTCAAATACAGAGACTGTGGTGGCTTATGCACGAATTGTACAGTCAACGGGAATGTTGCCTCAGGTGGTGGATCACCTCTACTCTTTGTTTTATGACGGTAGTAGAATTGGATCTCCTCACAGACCAAATCGCACCACTCGCACATGAGGTCAATAGATCTCTGCATTGCCTCCCATGGAGGACTGCAGTAGCTGTGCTGTGATAAATGAGTTGGGTCCGCGGCGGTGGCCCAGATACGTAGGAAAGTGTCATAAGAGAAGATTGTATCCCAACAACGCTTACAGACAAGGCGTTGGATATGTCGGTCCATTATGGATGTAATATGGAACAAGCTCTCTGGACGAAGGGAGACAAACACTGTACGCAGTAGCGACTCAAGAAATTTATGTACATGCGGCTAGGCTTATCTCAGTCAACAGGATACGCAGAGTGCTTGACTGCCAGCAATGACCAAGTGACGTGGCAATACATCGCATGGACAGGGATGACTGCAGGTCGTACTGTTATAAGATATGAAGACACTATCTAACCATTAATACCATGTCAACTTCCCGTTCTGTAAAGATAAGAATGTTCTTACTCTTTAAATTATGTATCTTGAGTGTAACGAGCAGCGTCCGAACAGTTGGTTTGTCATCGGTCAACATTGTAACTTCAACTCGGTGAACAGTTATAATACAGGTATCTTGACAAGACAGTTTTAACCAGACTGCGGAGAACAGCATTGTCTGAGAACAGCATTGTCTGAGTCTTCCGCGAAAGGCTCCCCTAGCTCTGATAAAAACAGAGTGGGCCCTTGAGCACTTCGCTTTATATGCTCCTGTTAAATGATATGTTTGTTTATCGGATATTCAGAAACTTTCTATTGTGCTGATGGCTGAGTGGTGCTCCATGTTTGTAAATAAACAACTTGTTAATAAACAGCACAATTATGGACTGGTCTGTGCTCTGTACAAGCTCCTTAATTAGACGGAGAAATAACGCTTGTGTCACTTATCTATTCATGAGATAACTTCATTTATATATTCATAGCATTGACCGCATCCATATAAATATATTAAGCTTCTAAAATAATCTGCCTAGCTCTATGTATTTATGAACTGGCAAGATAATCTTACATCAGGATCAGTAAAAGGTCATACAGGTAGACCTAAACAGGCAATCCTCTTTCTATTCCTTGTTTGGTACCTGCTATATTCTATGGTAACCATGTGCGCTCTTGTGATTTTATCTATGTTATGAGTCATAGCTTGTGCTGTTAGAGTGCCTAGTCAAAGTAATGGCCAGTCAAAATGCAGACAAGCTTTCCGAGGTCCCGAAGGCAGGGCTATTCATTCGACACAAGCTTCTTTCGGCACGTGCCATGGTGGACCCCTGGCCATGGATGTCGATACTCGGTAGGCCACGCTCAATTGGCGTCAGCATAACAGCATGACGACACGTCAGCAGGATAGCACGGAGCTGCTGGATTAGGAGAACTACAGATGTTACGCATATCAATAAGGTGCTTTAAATGAGGGGTAGTGGGCATTCAACAGACGACAGGACGAGCGTGCGCAGCCTGATGGACCATGCCAGTGTTAACAACCAACTAATCAGCAACCACAACATGTCGATGCAAAATTTCCTAGCAAGCTTATACGGGATGCGCGCTCTGGGCCTAGTGGCTCAAGATTCTACTCTTCTGCTAGATAGTGTCGAAATACTAACCGCTATACCAAAAACGATATATCGCTTTTATTTAGCCAGGCGACAAAGAGATACGTGTCCTAAGAGATAGTGTAGCGGTCTGGCAGAGCTTCGCTTCTAGAAAGGCACCTAGTTGTAGAGAAATTCAGTATGAGTTGTGGTAAGATCAATGGTCGGTTCTTAGAAAGGAGACAGGGCGAAGGGGGTGGTGGATGAATATATATTTGGCGCCGTGCACTGTCGGCGCATTCGCGGGTAGGTGTCAAAACTAAGCTCCTTGTAGGCTCAAGGCAACCTCACGCCTGATTAAGGCAGGACGGAAGAAAATATATTTCCTAACTTACATATACTAGC